CCTCCAAGTCTGCAGCCCCTTTCGGACTAAAGTATTAACTTGGTAATCGTATAATTTAAAACATTTCAAATAACTTTATTCATCATAAATAAAGTTCCATACATAACTGTAGAAAATGTGGAGTGTTTAATAAAAATGCAGAAGCTATTGGACATGAGTTGTATTATAAGTTTTATTATACGTGTATTAGTTAGTTTGTTTTGTTTATGACAATGTGTGTGCATGCTAATTTGATTTCAAAAGTAGAAATTTTCTCCGTGGGATTGACCCTTACTTGCCCTAGCTATAGTTTTTATTTGATTATATATTGGGGGTTAGCTAAGGATATTTTTATAAATTTTTAATTTATTTTGGATCGCACGACGGGTCCTCAACAAATTTTGAAAAACTTATAATAAAACTTATAACTAAATAAATATAAAAACTTATAAATATAACTTATATAAACAAAGTACTTATAATATAACTTCAAACACTAAATACATACTAAAAATAAACTAAATAATAAAGTATAAAAGACTTATATTTATAACTTATAGACAAACACTAATAGTATAACTTAGTAAAAAAACTTATATTATAACGTAAAACATGAGGGGGGTTCAATAAATAGTAAATATTTTTTTGATTTTTGATTTTTTTTTTATTTTTTTTGGTTTTTTTATAAAATGGGGGGAAAAACGTTCTAAAGATAATCATCTCCTCCAACTTAGATACCCAAGAAACACCGCCAAGAACCCAAAACAAAATAAAAAAAAGAGAACAAACACAATCGAACATTACACGTATAATAGGCACGTATACAATATATTACGTAACTTACACACTTAAGAATAGAAAAAATCAATCAAAGACCGAGTCGATTCATTTCCTTAACCACGATATGGAGGATTGTCAACTCTCCACACGGCCCGGAGTCATGTAATTCAAAGGCCCATTTTGAAATATACCTTAGAACCCCAACTCACTAATCAAGCATGAAAACATACTTCCACTATAGAAAAAGTTTATAAAAGAGCGAATTGTTTTTCATTCTAACTCTCATGCATAATATATTCAAAAACCGCCAATACCTTATGCATTTTAATAAACTTTTTCTTCTAATGAAGAGCACATTTCACAGATTTCCATGAACTTCTCAAACCAATGACGTTTTTTTTACTCACATAGATAAACACAACATATTTTCAATAAATCAAGAATTGTTTATTGCACTTAAACAATCTCAATTTAAAGGAAATGGAAAACAAACACAAAACATACCAAAATCACTCCATAACGAATTCTAAGGAAAATGAATCAACTTACGGGGCTAAGAAGTCCAAAATCCTTAAAATCAATGAACACAAGCACAACAAAGAAACACGTATGAATTCGGAGTTCATTTAACTATCTTATGGAGCTAAAATAGCTTCAACAAAAACCGAATTCTACATAACAACCTACTTATGAATTTGAAATAATTCAACCAATTTAACAACAACTTGTGCAATAATTGAAGTAAATAAGAAAGAATCAATTCTCATTCATAAGGGAATATATATAAACATTAAAGAAAATACCCATAAAAGAACACCAACCATTTTGGAATTTTTGAAATTAACACAAACAGATAAACAAAAATGTAAAAATTAAACTAAAAACAATACTTTACAAAGAATGGAAGAAACAAGCAAGGGTTACCACTTTGTTGAAGAAGATGAAGAAATTAAGGGATTGGAGCTTGAAGAAAAGTTGCTGCCCACCATCGTCGTCCGCCGGCGAGAAGTGGTCCGCCGCCGTCTGCTTCCTCCTCTGGTGCGCGGCGTCAATTTCAGTTGCCGCGGCCTAGAGCCGCTGCTCTCTGGATGATATTTCCCCCTCACTTTCTTGTTGCAATTCGTCTTCAATTTATAGTCAAAGAATTCTTCCCGTTGGAGCGTTTGGGCAAATTTGGCGGAGAGACATTGGAGTGTCGCCTGAGTCGATCTTGGAGCGTTTACTTCGCAGTTGCGTTAATGAAAAGAAGCTGCGTTTCTTCTCTTTTTTCTTTCTTTATTGTGCGAATCAGGAGAGCAATGGATGGGCAAATTAACTTGTTTTGATGATGGGTTTGGGCTCCGGCCCAAACTCAATCTCTTCTTTTTAAACATGAACTGCACTTTGGCCTTTCGCTGCACTTTTCTCAAAAAAAATAAGATATCTGATAACTTGGGCTAGGAAAAATAAAATAAAATGTAAAAAGTGATTAAAAACTACTAGTACTATTTTTTGAAATAAAATTAAAAGATTGTAAAAATAAGAATTAAAATAAAACTAAGTTACACAACTAAAAACATAACTCTAAAAGTATTAAAAATGCCTAAAAAAGAATAAAAAGAACCAAACGAAACCCGACTTATCAGTATGAAATCTCTGACTCAACCACCATTTTTATAGACTATTGAAGCTACAACTCCTTGAAGGCCAACGTTGCCTCCTCTGTTGGTAAGCTAATTTTTCGTCTTACCAATTCCCGTCCTAGATCGACCGTTGTAGCCATGAACCTTGGATTGCTACCAAGGGCATGACTACCAAGTAGACCAACGAATCTTATGGTATAAGAAAGAGCTCGAGAAGTTCCTTCCATAATGTGAAAATGTGAGAATACCCTTATCACAATCATGCTATATATATAGACTTGAAATTTGAGCTTTGAGAAAAGGGTAGTTATCCTTAGTCGAAATTTGTACAACAAAGATGGATTCGATTTACCTACTGATGATTACGTACTCTCCAATACTACAGTCTGCTGATGATATGACGTGTTGAGACTCATGAACAGTTAGATTCGATGTCCTGGAATACGTTCAAACCCGAGATGAAAAGTCCAAATGTCTAAAACCCTAAGATAATGACCCCTTGGGTAACTGCCAAAGAGTCAAACATTAAAGAAAGAAAACCTACTATTAGTAATGGTAATTCGCAAACTTTATCTTTGTTTCTTGTGACTCATTCAAACTTGCCGGGTTAACTATACCCTTGAAACATCTCACTTAATCAATCTTGAAAAGATTGAATTTCATTGCTTGTATCAAAATATTGAACAATGAAAATTATCCTAACTTATGATTTTCCATTGAATCCAAAAGATGCTTTATGATACCAATTTTTCGAGAACTATACTCTATGAACTACGTGACTAAATCACAATAGTAAAACTACCCTGACTTGAACATTATGTCGAATCTCTCTTTGTGAACTACAAAATGGTTGATGCGATTGCGTTACCTATGAAGATTAATATTGATGATGGAAAAAAAATTGTGAGAAAGACATTTGAACGAATAATTACAAAAGAATGTTTTACAAAATCTTTGATGCTAATGCAACGATATAGGTTTTTGACAATGTTATTTTATACAAAGTATGTTTTAAAGATATTCGTGAAAAAAAAAGAATTTTTGTTTCTTAAGACACATTGAGCTAATGAACAATTAATGGCAAAACTATTTTTTTAAAAACAAATCATGAGAAATGTGTTGTATATTGGAATATGGAAATCTTCACTTTAAATTTATTTTTGTGTAAAGTTGGAAATTATTGATTCGAAGTCATCTTGATGAGATAAATAATTGTTACTATGGAATTAATCCTAATATTGTTGTATGATGTGAACAAATGCTGTTGTTATATGATTTTGACATATTTTATGTCTTCAAATTGCTTGAATGATGTGGAATCTATTTGTTCATGTTATATGAATCAGTGCAATCTTATTAAGGTTCGGAGTTAGAAACTTTGAAATATAAATCCTTGTTTAGCTAACTACTTTGAGAACCTATAGTGACTACTAGGATAATTACTATTCGCCAAACGTTGCTATACAACTTAAATTATGAACGTCAACTGTGAAAATAATCATCTGTCGAGAGTGAGAAATAGTGACCTATGCCGCGAACCAACATTTCGGTCTTAGTCTGAGGATGCTTCTAGAACATTTACGAAGTAAAAAAAACATATATGAGTTGAAAGACGCAATCATAGAAAGACTGTTGAAAACTCCTACGATGCACCAAAACAATCCGTGAATCTACCTTATCTTGAACGAAAATACATCGTTGTTTACTCACTCAAACAAAAGTACAAAATAATCCTTTGTAAAAAAAACTTTTATAATAAAAGCGTTGTATTAATCGTTTTATGAATTACCTTTAAAATGAGATTTTACCTTAGGAAATTTCGGGAAAGAAATGTAACGCCCCAAAACATGGCCTAAAAGTTATTTATGATAAAAGAATTTCAAAACAATATTTTCACCCAACAAAGTATATTTTCTATGTTTGACCAAAAATGAAGGAATTTATGGAGTCATTAATCTTTTGTTAAAATTGAGTTTTATGGATAGGCCTTAAAAAGACGAATCCAACGATATATTTTATGAATAAATCTGATGTATAGATTTTAAGTTGTGACATTTTAAATATGTAATTTGCATAAAAATGATAAGTGGTTAAAGATGTGAACTTTTGTAAAAAGATTAATTGAAATAAATTATTTAAATTGAATAATATTGATTGAATATGCGAGTACTTTTAATTATATGTCAATTAATTTAATTTTAACTCTGTCAAAGTCAACACCCTAAAATATGGTGTCAGAAAAAGTATTAAAAAAATGTGAAAATTATATTATCACGTAGAACATGACTGTCTAACCACAACGGTGTAATTAGATTTCAATTTGGAGAAAGTTGGACCAAAAAAGATACCCCGATGGAGACTATTTTAGTCCCAATCAGGGACAAATGTGTGAAATTTACAAAGACCAGCCGCCACCCCCATTGTGCCTAACAAAAATCACCCCAAATCAAGGGATGATCAAAGAAAAATCACCCAAAATGGAGTCATCAAACTCCTTACAATTCTTCTTCTTCACCTATAAATGGAGCATCATTTCTCTTTCAATTCTCCACCAAAATTCTTCATTCTTCTTCCTATAGTTTCATTAGAGTATAGAGAATAGACCGGAAGTGATCGCCACCAACAAAGTCGCCGGAGGTAGCCACGGTTCTTGCCGGAAGTTGCCCCGAAAAGTTAAATGAAGAAAACATTTCCTGTGCAAATCAGCCCACTTGTGAGCATTTTTACACCCTCTAAACGTCGTTATTTTAATCTGGTTTCTAATTGAAAGTTGTAGCTTTATGTCTTACGAATCTTTAGCTTCAAACGGTTCGCGATTTCGTTGAGTAACGAAGGAGATATGGCCCGAACCTACAACCATTTTCGAAGCAATAAACGATGAACATTGGACCTTGGCTATGCAAGAGGAGCTAAACCAATTCAAACGGAATGACGTTTGGGAATTGGTGCCAAGGCCCGATGATCGAACGATTATTGGTACGAAATGGGTGTTCCGTAACAAACTTGATGAAAATGGAATAATCACTAGAAACAAAGCTAGGCTCGTAGCTAAAGGCTACAATCAAGAAGAAGGCATTGATTT